TAAATATTACAAAAGTCAAGGTTTTTTATTATACCAACACAGCGAGTGTTATTTTGGTGTACGTAGGATCTACGCGCTTACACATACACTCACATATTTGTGCAAGTGTGTGGAATTGTATTACGAGCTGACCTTAATCCTTTTATCACCACATCCCATGCACACTTTATTGTTGTGCTCGTTATTGTTATTGTTATTACAACTTTTACTACTACGTCAGCCAATCCTTCACACCACTGTCTGTATATTAACATGTATGTGCGCAGACTCGCTCGTGTGAACGACTCATTCCATGCAGACACCCAGCAATGCCAACCAAAGCAAACGCCAACGCGACGTGGCAATTATGATCTGATACGCGCTGTCCACACTCCGCGCAGCCGCGCCGACGATCATCCGGCAACCAAATGCCAACATACATACCATATACATGTATGTATGTATGTAGTGTGGTGTAGCTACGTGTGCGCACTAATTTGCAGGCACATCATGGAGCAAAGAAACTAAAACTACTTCAAATAAAAGCAACAATCAGCAACAACAAATCGCATTAAAGTGTATGACGAAAATAAAAGAAAAACCAAGTGAATGAACAAACGAATCAAATATTAAACAACGACAGCTGCAAGCGAGAAAATTTTCTCACACTCGATGGTGTGTTGACGCAGCAACAAATCAGCCGCAGCCGCAGCCGCAGCCACAGCCGCAACCAGAGTCGCATTCACACTCAGCAGAAGCCCGACAGTTCGGCAGTCAGACAGTGCGTCAGATCGGCGTTCGTCCTATAAACGCATAAACAACAACAATAACCATACACACGCACACACAGATTACAACAACAGCCACTCAGTCAGTTAATATAGCAAGCAGTCAATAAGTCGCTGTAGTGGCCACATCCGTAGGTTAGCCAACTTGTTCGTCCATCCATTTATACACACATGCCCGTCCATCCGACCATCCGTTGGTCTGTCATTCGTCCGTCCGTTGGAGTGCTGAAGAGTGGTAGCAGCCGCAATTGCAAAAGCAAGCCTAGCAGCAGCCAGCGCTTAGCCAACAGTCATTTTAAGTGTGCCCGACTGAATGCGTGCCCGTGTGTGTTTCACTGCTCGTCAGTCGTCGAAATTTGACGAAAGGCAGGTGGTAGTTTTTCGGGAATTTAGCTCACTGGCACATAACAGCTACTGAGTATCTTCGTTGAACGCGTCAGTCGCGCAATGGATAAATAATATCCTAGATTGGCACACAACACATTAGCATGTACAGTGGGACCGAATGGACACACACCGGATTATTTATATGGTTAATTGAAAGTAATAGAAATTGTACGCCGCAGCCGAGTGGTTTGAGTATGTAACTATCAAGTGGAGTGCTCTGGATGAAAATGGAGAACGGGACAAAATCATAATTATTCTAACGGCAATTGTATTGTTTTTCGAAACTCCAGATCGTATTTCATATTATTGGAGACGCCTTAACCCTGCTCATGGGTCCTCCTGTCATACTATGGAGACTCGAGAAAAATAGTAATTATTCCATCTGGCGTCTTGTAAAATGACGCAAGACGATGTATCTATATAGTTCCAGAATGATTCCTCGAACTATAGTCTTACCATCCCATGAATCCTGCAATTGTTTTTTTTTCTGCCAAGACATTTTATCCACACTGTAAATCCAACGATCTTTCCGAAAGCGCTGCAGACGCCTTTAAACCGAGATCTTCTGTTCGCAAGGTTTGAGCATGCAATGAACATTTAAAAAAAAAAAAGCATACATATGTCTTTTCGACCGACGATAGAAAATTAAAAAGATCAAGAAAATAGGTTTCCATTACATGTATATTCATGTTTTGTGGATACAAAAATTCCAAGTAATATTCCCCAAGTACTGTGACTACAGCAATATTACCGAAAAAGCTATATAACGATGTTTAATATTCCATATATGACTGAGATCGAAAATTCGCGATAATTTTTCAGCCATTTAGAAGAGGTGCACTAAACATCTGCTTTCCTGTGGTTCGTGATCTCTCCGTAAGGTATCAACTTTTGCACTTTATGCTATGAATCACCGTCTCATTCTTCCAGCTAACCAATGCTGAAGAAAAAATCAAGGCAATGTAGATCTTCATCAAAATAAGATCTGTCAGCAAAAAACTGAAAGAAATGAAGTTGGTCACATTAAATCGTGCTTTGATGAATTGTGCTTTAAGCTAATTTAGGTTTTTCAGAATCCTTGTGTCAAGCAAGACCTCGATTCTTCTGCTACGGTTAACCTGACTCCCAATAAGTGGCTATTCACTCTTACTTCATCTTAAAGCTAGTTTCTTTGGAGCTTTCCTACATTCCTTATCTGCTTAAAGTGAAGCGAAGCGAAAATATTGTCACCAACAAGATACTCTAAAAATTACTAGAAAAGTAAGCTTCGCTAATCTTGCTTGTACCCATAAATGCTTACCATACTCTAAGTCGCAGAGTAGTGAAACTCCAATCTTTTATTACGATATGAAATATATATCTTTTGAATTTCGCGGCTATGTACAAAGCGCTACAGAGCTCGTATCTGGCAACACTATACATAATTTGAAAGGTCTTGACATAACCTACAAAACAACGCTATGCATGATTAGTTTGGATATTGCGTTCAACAGTTATAGACGTGTAAACATGGAGTACACTAACGCCGAAATTCGCGCTATTTTAAAGTTTTCCTTCGTTAAAGGCAAATCCGCTAGAGAAACGTTCCGTGAGATTAATGGTGTTTTGGGGGATGGTACTCTATCACTTCGAACCGCGGAGAAATGGTTTCGACGGTTCAGAGCCGGTGAAAACGACACCATGGATAAGCCAGCCGGCGGAAGACCTGTGACGACAAATACCGATCAAATCATGGAATACATCGAGTTAGACCGGCATATGGCATCTCGTGACATCGCCCAGGAGATGGGAGTTAGTCACCAAACCATTTTGAACCATCTGCAGAAGCCTGGATACAAAAAAAAGTTTGATGTTTGGGTGCCGCATAATTTGACGCAAAAAAGCCTTCTGGACCGAATCAACGCCTGCGATATGCTGCTGAAACGGAACGAACTCGTCCCATTCTTGAAGCGGATGGTGACTGGCGACGAAAAATGGATCACATACGACAATATCAAGCGAAAACGGTCGTGGTCGAAGGCCGGTGAATCGTCCCAAACAGTGGCCAAGCCGGGATTGACGGCCAGGAAGGTTTTGCTGTGTGTTTGGTGGAATTGGAAGGGAATCATCCACTATGAGCTGTTTCCATATGGCCAGACGCTTAATTCTACTATCTACTGCGAACAACTGGACCGCTTGAAGCAGGCGATCGACCAGAAGCGTCCAGAATTGGCCAACAGGAAGGGTGCAGTGTTCCACCAGGACAACGCCAGACCACACACTTCGTTGATGACTCGTCAGAAGCTACGGGAGCTCGGATGGGAGGTTTTATCGCATCCACCATATAGCCCGGACGTAGCGCCAAGTGATTACCACCTGTTCCTGTCCATGGCGAATGCCCTTGGTGGTGTGAAGTTGAACTCAAAAGAGGCTTGTGAAAAGTGGCTGTCCGAATTCTTCGCAAATAAGGAGGGGGGCTTCTACGAGGAAGGTATTATGAAGTTGCCGTCTAGATGGAAACAGATCATCGAACAAAACGGCGCATATTTTAACTAAATCCGATCACTGTAACACTTTTTATAAAGCATTGAATGAAGAGCAAAAAAGCGGACCTTATATATTGACTCGAAGGCGTCATGTTGCTGAAATCAGAACTCTCAGATATCTTATCTAAAAGTTTTGGGTAAGTTATTCGCTTTCGGATTTTGTCGGAGGTCGTAATTTTTATCATGTTGTGTCCATCTTTTGCGTATAACATGATTAACGACGTTAGGCAAGTAAAAGTAGGATCAGTACCTTCTTGTAAGTTTTATACATATAAGATATTAGATCCATGTAAAATTCTCCTAATTGCAAACAAATTAAAAGTCTCGAAGAAGCCATATTTTTGTTGAAGCAGAGGACGGAACAAAGTCAAAAAATCAGAGACCTGCCAACAAATCACTTATGTACACTTGCTCGACTAGAATTATTATAAGCAATTTACTTAAAGTCAAACTTGATCCACTGTACGCACTCGCTATCACAAAATACACAGTCACCCCAAGCAAAGGGGATGAGCGCTGTTCGCAGCGCGGTGATAATAACACCGACGACAATAACGAGCCGTTGCGTCGAACACAACAACAAAAATACGGGGTGTAAGTAAAGAATGAAAGAAAAAAAGTCGTGTGGGAAACTGAGTGGTAAAGTGTTTCCCACGGTTTCGAAAAAGGACTGTAGCAGCAGCAGCCGCCGCCGCAGCTTTCGTTGAGCAGGAGGTTAATTTATTTTACCTTGCATACAAAAACAACCAGCAACAACAGCAGCAAACAACCAACAGATATGCGTATAATGATCAAGTAGCTTATAAGAAATCAGCTGCACCCTCACAGCAATATGAGCAAGTTCATAAATGCGAACAGCCCTTACGAGTAGAGTGCAGAGAGCTGGAACAGGATCTGCGCAGCGTGTGACGATTACAGCAGAGCGCGCAACGAACGTATAACACGAGCAGTGAAAGCAACAATAAAACGAAGAACAAGCACCAACATTGCAGTGGTGTCACCTTTCACTGAAACAGCTCGGGTCGAATCGGTTGTTCGCTCTGGTGTGCGATAACAACCACTCAGCTAGTCAGTCAGTGAGTGGGCAATCCTGTTTGCCATACACATGCAGGTGTTCGGCTTCACCACTACTGTTGGTTTTGGTGTGATACTCTCACTCCCGTTTTACGCACTATACTCTCTCAACGTTCGCTTTGCAGGCATTGCAATGAGCGCGCGTTGCGCACGAGCATAACAAACGCTGGGCGCTGGGAGCGGCGATGACACATCTAGTCTCGTGCAGCTATAAAAGCACGACACATTCCTGGCGTACTCTGCATTCTCGTTGCAGAACTTGTAGTGAAAACAACATTGCGTAACCAAGAGGATTTTCGATTTTGGAGAAGAAACAAAGTAAAAATTATTTTCGAGTTTTTAAGTAAAAATACAAAGTAATAGTAAAAATAAACAAGAACAAGATGGCAACCAGCGCTTATGAATTATCAAAGACTTATCGTTATCGCAAAGTGATGAAACCGCTATTGGAGCGTAAACGTCGTGCGCGCATCAATCAATGCCTTGACGAGCTCAAAGATCTAATGGCTGAATGTGTGCAACAACAAAGTGGCGATCCGGAGATGAAATTGGAGAAGGCCGACATTCTCGAATTGACTGTTGAACATTTACGTAAAATGCGTCAGCAACAAACAACAGCCAAGCGCAGCGATGAAGGTGCACGTCAGAGTTTCCGTTCCGGTTACATTAAGGCGGCACATGAAATCTCACGTTGTCTCGCCACACTACCGAATGTGGATGTCCAATTGGGCACACAGTTGATGACACAACTCGGTTTGCGTTTGAATCAATTGGAGTCACAGTATCAGGAGGTGCGCACCGCTGTCAATCAGCCATTGAACGTAATTTGCGGTGCAGCTACATCAACCGCTAGCGTCGCCTCCAGCATGTACAGTCCGGTTTCCAGCGGTTATGCTAGTGACAATGAATCGACTACCTCCAGCCAAACGGCAGCCAGCAGCAGCGGTCTATTGCAAGTCTCCTCAACAAGTGTCTGGCGTCCTTGGTAGTATATCAGTGGCTAACAGACTTATAGCTTTTAGTCGCGCCAATCACTGAGCTCGAGCATGGACTTAATTAAACAATCGACGGTCTCATTTAGTTTAAGTGAAAATTGTTTTTTAATTTTAATGACATAATTTTTTAATGTAAACTGTTATTAGCGAATTAACTTTATAAGAAACTCAAGTAGTTTTTTGAACTGTGATAGGAAAAGCTTTAGTTACATACATACAAACAATTGTACTGCAGTAATAGTATTAGTATTTAAGTGGAAAAGAATACTTATACGTATGTATGTATATCAATATATGACTCAAAAATGAAAACAAAAGCAAACTTGATTTTTTCATGAAAAATTGGAGGCGAAAATCGTGCTGAATGCATATATGCATATTATTGTTAAAATTAAAAAAAAAATTAAGCGGGGGATTACTTGTTTTTGGTGACTACTTCATGAAAAAATACTCACATTCAAATTCGATGATCAAGTGGAAAATGGGGGGTCCACTTGACGTGTTTTTATTCATATGCTAATAGGCAAGAGTGAGTCTTCACGACCTTCTGCAGGTGTTAAGCACTTTTGATAATTGCGAAAATTTATGCACACTATTTCGAGAATCATACTGATAAGAATTTCATCCTTAACAAAAAATCCATGACAGTTGGGTCTACGTAAGCGGAATGAACCCGGACAAGAAATGTCAACTTGACTGCTTGCTTTAAATTATTTGAAGAATATTTTCTGCCATTTTAACAACGAAAACCAACAAAAAAGAAAATGATATGCCTTTGTGATTGCAACAGGACGACACTACATGCCACACAACGATTAGTACGATTAACATTTTGCGTAGACAATTTGATGACACACCAAAGAGTTGTTATGAACTGACCAGCAAAGTAGAGGATTTAAAAAAATAAGCATATTGTACATAGAACCATTTTGAAAAGTGGCACCCAAAGTGAACATAATCTCAAAAAAATCACAGCGGCAAGGCTGTTATCGTAAAACTGCGAAAATCTTTCTGAGGGAGCTTTTGTTTACTGACTTACTCGGAAATCTATAGCCGCTTTCAGCTTATGATCCTAAAGCAAAGTTAAACGTAAATAAGGCGGCATTTTCCACTGAGAGTGTTCAGCCTGATAAATTTTTGATTTCGTTTCCTAACATTTTTTTTCTGAGTAACGAATTCTTTATTTCGGACTAACGAGACCGATCGTTGAGTTTGGTGGCTTGTAATATTATACATAGTTCAAAAAATTAAACGTAAGAAAGAAGAAGAAGACGCATACTTGTTTTTCCGTTAAAAAATGTTATTTAAACCTATTTCAGAGCTCAGAATTAAATTCACTGGGGATCATATTATCAACTTTAATATAATCGCTGCAATTTTTTGAAGGAAATTTTGTGTAAATAGAATAAATTCCCAGCAGTCCATTACTTTACGCATTCATAATGAACTATTATCGTTTCTAAACTCTTCCGACTGATCAAAAACCGACACCTAATGAAGTTCAAACTTTTTCAAATTTGGAAATCAAGTCCTTGTGCGGATCATCACGTAATGTTCTTCTCGCTCAGATGCTTTGCAAAGCTTCGAAAAATTCTCGAAGTTTTATTATTATGTATTTTATTATATTGTATTGAAAAATTTTTTATTTGAGGGGATATATTTACCAAATTTGGCATGCCTTATTGCCCAAGAAAACATTATAATCTTCAAAGAAATAATTCAGATCGGACCATTATAGCATATGCATACCTGCCTTACAATCTTTTATAATTGTGAAGGATTTTACAATTGTTTTTTTTTGTCAGATAGGAGAGTAAGCATCGTTAAGATAGAACTACATTAGAGCTACAAATAGAAGCAGCAAAAAAATAATATTATTAATAACGTCGTTGTGGCAAAGCGTCATAAAAATCCGCTACTAATAAGTGGCGCGTAATCTTGCATTCAAATTCAAGGGGGGGTTGATAACGTGTGCTGTTGTATTATAAACTCACGTCAGGAATCCACGAGTGTAGTTGCCTTCCTTTGCATCACCAATTCACTAAAATGATCAGCAAAAGTTGCAACATGTTTTTGTAATGGATTTACTGAACGTTGACCACATTTAGACAGAGCCGGAGCGCTTCTGTTGGCTGTGATTTCCATCTCGTTTAATGCGGTTATCTGGTATAAGAAACTTCATTCAAGTTGGCTAAAATTATATTGACGAAACTTTTGCCATTTAAGACTAGCAGGGGTTTTTGAGTGAGATATTTTTGCGAACGAACCCGCTATGAGCCAGTAACTGAAACATTTTTGCCGTTGATAGCTCTCGGTGGGAAATTCCTCAGTATTGAACCAGTAACTGAAATATTTTTACCTTATGAAAAAATGGTGAGTTTGTCGCCATTTTTTGTACAAAGAGTTACTAATTTCAGAGCCATAAGATCTCCTTTACATCTGGGTTTGGAAATAAAATTATTATTATATTTATTTGCCATTTAAAGCAGATTGTGGCATGTCATATACCAGTTGATAGAAGCTCATCTCGCGTGAAACCGCGTGTAAAGTCGAGTCACGATAGACCCAGATTTCTTTACACAGGGTCAATGCGATTGCTGAAACCCGAGCAAGATGACACGTAAGCCCTGCAGCTTCCCCATTTAAAAATCAACTAGTAGTCTTATTGAAAATCTAAACAAATAAAATGATCTTCAGTAAATATCACCTTTGCCATAAGTAATTTTTTGGCGCATTAATTTTAAAATCGTATAATCCTCATATTGTCTTACTCCATACTTTCGCACATGCAACTGCAATACAATCTGCATATTAATTGATAGCTGCAAAGTGTGCGCTGCTACATACATACATATCTACTTATGCATCTACATATATTATATATGTACGTACGTACATGCATACCGCCACTAAATTAAGCGACAGTCGGTAAAGACTCGTGTATTGCACGCATTGGCGCGCGCCACTTTGGCCAGCAACCGGGTAAAAGGCAACATAAGGCAACAACAAGAATAATATGAAACAATTAATTTTCGTATGAATGCACCATTCAAGTATTTGTAGAAAAATTTCAGAAACTTTCCCACACTCAAATGCAGCTGTCGAAGTGCTCGGCAAACGACAACAGCAACAGTAAACAATTATGCCATTATCCTGAAGCAACACACACTGAAGGACAGCAACAAAATAACAACAACAACAAAATGCTACGACTGCATTAACATTCTTCACTCGCGCACATTGCGTAGGAGTTGTGCATACAAACAGACATACAACTGCAAAAAATGCAACATCAAATATTTGTGTGTGTGTGCGTGTGCAATCCAATAAATCGAAAAGTAAACATAACGCACGAAAGCCTGCTGAACTTACATATATACATGTGTATATATATTTGTGTGTGTGTGCAACGCGTGCATTGCCGGCGAAGCAACGGATCAAAATACCGAAACGAAAAATAGCAGCAGCTGCAAAATTTCAGATCCTTAAAAAGGAGCATGTGGCTAGCATGCATAATAACAGCAACAACGAACACATGCCGAACGGAAAGTGCTGTGTGAGAAACTCACTTTCGTGTTGGTTCCCACGCCACGAGCCATACGGCAGGTTTTTTTTTAGGAATGTTGTTGAACAGCGGATTTTTTGTACGTCCCTTTGCAGCCAAGTGTCCTCGTCGTCGTCATTCAATTCGGCTAGGCAAGTTGAGCATACATAAATAGTTACTTGATTCTTATATGAGCGTACACACACACAAACATAAGCACGTGTATTTGTAGATTGTTAATTCACTTTACACTAATATACATTATGAGGGTTGTTCCCAATTCAGTTGTGCAGCAGTGCTAAAAGCGCAAAGCAAATAAGACAAGGATACTCTTACAAGAGAGAGAGAGAGAGAGTAAAAATGCAGGCGAGTCCTTGCTGGGATTTAAAGGTTGTTAAGGCAGAGTATAAAAGCGCGTAGTCCTGAAGGATCTGACAGCACATTCGTATCAACCGGCGAAACGTGAACACCGAAAAAAAACACACAAAATGGCACAACAAAGCAAAACACAAATTTACTTAAAAATCAAGAAACCGCTATTGGAACGTCAAAGACGTGCACCCATTAATAACTGTTTGGAGGCATTAAAGAAACTTGTTGCTGAGTTACAAGCTGATGAAGCCGTACTACGCATGGATAAAGCCGAGTTACTCGAGCAAACACTTATTTTCGTTCGCCAACAGTGCCGCGGTAAGGCACAACAACAAAGCGCACAAGTGCACACCGATTTATTTCGTAATGGCTATATGAATGCAGTTAATGAGGTGTCACGTGTGATGGCCTCAACACCTGGCATGAGCGTGCAAGCGGGCAAATCTGTAATGACACATTTGGGTCGCAGTTTTAATCGCCTACAACAGGAGCAGCAGCAGCAGCAACAACAACAGCCACAACATACAACAGTTCAACAGCAGCAACAAGTATCACATCGGCAAACAAAAACAGTTACAAATATGCAACCACTACGCATTGAGTGCGCACCACTGAGTCCCGCTTCTTCCGGCTATCATAGTGACTGTGAAAGTCCCATTGCGTCACCTGTTGCACAGCAGCAGCACACAGCTGCAGAGAGTTTGTGGCGACCTTGGTAATGCAATGGCATTGCAAAGCAGAAGAAAGCAATGAAGGAGAGCGTGAGAGACTAGTGGGCATTTATTGATGTGACCACCACCAACTGTGATACTGTTCTGTGATGTTTCTATTGAACAACAATTTTATAATAACTACACTGAAAAGGGAAAGCAATTAAGAATTTAAATAAGTATATACAAATAAAATAAAATATACACTTACACAAAAAAATATATATATACCTACTTTTTATTCTGATAAATCAGACGTTTGGCGGGCGCTTCGTCTGTACAGCAAAATCCATTGTTGTTATTTAGGGTTTGAAGTTGATTTTTAATTACTTGACACTTTTGCAGTTGAATTTGATTTCTTCACTTCACACACACATATAACTAAATAAGTTTTATCAAAAGTAAAAACTATTCAACTTTATTGATTAACTAAAAACTTCGGGCAATTGTTTCCGCCTAGCCAGAAATTGTTACTTCCTTCCGTTATTTCTTTCCAGTGTCTCTACTCTGTAAGTGCTGCCAATTCTCATAAAAACACTACTTTTTTAAAAACATATAAATGCAGAGAATGTAAAACAGAGAATGTAGATTATACGTTACATTCTCTGTGTAAAATACATAATCTACATTCTCTGATAAATTCATGCTAAACAAAAGAAATCATTCCGTTTGTAATTTTTTATTAAATTCCTAAAATTTGAATTACTGTACACAAGTCATATATTTTATATCTGAATACAACACTTTGCAGAGAATGTAAAATAATCTACATTCTCTGCACCTTGTTTTCATTTCTTTCATAATAAATAAGTTGTTTCAGAGAATGTAAAATACTACACATTCTCTGGTCGTTTCTACCATTTTTCAAAACAATAACACATCTTAAATGCAGCCCTGTACGCCCCTAACGATTAGGCAGCACTATTTATGACCCGAGTGACCAGCTTGTCGCACTGCATAAGATAACGATAAATATGCCTGAAGTTACAATCAAATACTTACAAAATAGGTAGCTGGTCACTCTGTAACTGAATTCGTTTTTTCACGTCTGCGCATTTGCTTTGTTGTCGTTATTAATTTTATTTGATTTGAATATAGCGAAAAACTAGATATTTCAATTGTGCTGGGGCCAATGTAATAGAAAATTGTGTCTCATCTGGGGAGCACGTAAAAATGTCCGTAAATATTACAGTGAATGGAAAATTTAGAGCATGTAATAAACCAAGCATTTTGGACGATCCTGTGCGTGTAAAAAAGCAGCTGGAAGGTGAGCTTAGAAAACAACGTTTACTTGAGGTAAGTTACCTGAAAGATTATGATACTTATATATATAAGGATATGAATAATTTCTTCAAATCCTCAGGTACGTGAAGAGTCAAAGAAGTTGGCGCGAAAAATACGTAATGATGTCGCGGCAGAAAAAGACAGGCAGCTGCGAAATCTTGAGGCTATTAAAGCGCAGGAACTTGAATGTTGGCGGCAACATGTATTGGATCAAAAGAATAATGAATATCGACAAGCTATATTTCAAATTGGTACAGCACATAATGCCGCAAAGATTGAAAACGAAGCAATGGCAGAACGTCAGGCAGCCAAGGAGCAGGAACGCAAACAATTTAAAAAGAAAACTAACGAACGGATAGGTGTCAAACCCAAGCAAAATATAAAGAAAGTGCTACAAACTGCCGGCACCCAAACACCAAATGTGCTCATTAAAGACAAAAAGAAAAAGACACCGAAGAAACGAAAACGAAAAATTTGTCCAAAAGATCACACATCAACTTGCCACTGCACAAGTTCAGAGAGCGAGTCAGACGATGATAACAGTCTGCATAGCAATGAAAATGACTCAGAATTACAAAGTAATTCCAGTAAAAGTGAAATGACAAAATCTGTAACAATTTGCCCATGTCCCAAAGTAATTAAATGTCCATGCACAAGCAGCTCCTCATCATCTTCGCTACTTTCACCAACCTGTACCGACGAGGAAGAACCGGAGAAGAGTTCTGATATACAAAATAAAAATGTTGTTCTCAGCAAAAATCCACCAGTTATTGTGGACATCGATGTGAATAGCAACGATTCAATAAGCATAACAGCTGGTGAAATTAAAGATAAATATGCGCAGAGTAATCGACAATATCATCATATCGTGCGAAAAAGTAGTCCTGAAAAACCAACACGCTCGCCACAAAAGAGCAGAACCGCCACTAGCACAGCAAAACCACGTTTCACACAAGTTTCGCGAATTTTAAATGCAAAGAGCGACGTTTCACCTACTCGTTCACGTTCACCGCCCAAGCCACCACCGCCATCACTTGCAGCCACAACGGCCAGCACGACAGTTAAATCGCCACATAAAAGTAGTACATCTGGACACATACAAATTACACTTTCAGGCAACACAGTTACAATGGATAGCTGTAAAAGTGATAAGGGAAAAGACACGGGCGATAGTAGTCGAAGTCGTGTGCAGTCGTATGATTACAATAACAAATATACGCGTGATTATGCACAACCCACCGAGGGTCTGGTGCATGAGCCTACTTTCCGCGAACGCAATGGTCCGTGTGCAGTAGCACAAGCGGAAATGGAAAGGGAATTAGAATTGCAAAGAGAGGAGGAGCGTAAGAGAATGTGGTTGGTAAACTTTGTATATATGCTCAAAAAAGCAAAAAAGTCTAAACTAATTAAATAATAAAATTTATAATAAAATAATATTTAATTTACAGTGCGCGCTCGGATGAACGTGGTCGTAAAGCGCTTGAACGCGAACAAGCACGTCGTGATTGTGCAGAGCTTACAGAAAGACTTGATGCGCTAACGCAAGAATATCCGCAACTGTTGAATCCGACTGATGTGAGTTTTTTTTATAACCTGAACTGAGTATATTAAGTTTGTAAGGAGAAGTTTGTTAAGAAGGAAACATCGGAAACCCTATAAAATATATACATAAATGAGCAGCATGATGAGTTGAGTTGTTTCTGCCATGTCCGTCTGTCAGTATGAAAAACTTTAGTATTTCTTCACAAAATTTTACATGATTTATTGTCCAAGGCAACACTACAATATCCGAAGAAATTATTTAGATCTAACCACATCAGTATGCTGACATACTAACTGATCGATCAAGATCCAGTCTTTGTATGGAAAACTTTAGCATTTATGAAGGGTACTAAGGCTGCGGTGCAACCGAAGTTAACGTAGTAGTCTTTCTTGTTTTTAATATATTTTATTATCAATTTTTAATTATATAATATCTTCACATACATTATCAGATTAGAATCCAAAATCATCAATTATATATAAGTCGTGAAGCACGCATAGAACAAAAACGTAATGCAGCCATAGAAGACCTATTTTTGCGTCCTGCAATTATCACCTGCCCAGAAGTTGACAAGCAGCGCATTCGCAGTGAAAGTGCACAGGGCGTCACCAGCACTAAAACTGATGACGGTGATTTGAATTTAACTTCACCACATGATCAAATCAATAGCTCCTCTGATAGCCGTTGCTCTATACTGCTCGGTTATGTTGATGATCAGAAGAAGAAAATACGTAATGATTTGCTGAAATGCGCCGATGGTCAACCAAATCAGAATAAACAAAAAGCTGAACGCTTAAAAAAGTTATTGCTGCGCATAGATGAGTTGCGGAAAGCTTTATGTGAAGAATTGGAAAAGAATGGCAGTGGCGATAGCATGCAGCAGGTGATAAACGATGTGAGTGATGTGCGTCGCGAGCGTGAACGTATGCTGAATAAGGATGTGCCGCAGGAAAATGGCAGGCAATCACCACTAGGTAAGCATTTAGATGATGTGGAACGGAAGGAAGCTGTGTTGGAGCAAAAGCTGCGTGAATTATGTAAAATGCAGAAGGAACAAGGTAGCCAAGTTAAAATAGATAAAGTTCGTGGTAAACTGGTCGAAAAAATAATGAAAAGTATGTGCGATTTATTTCGTTTGTAATAAATTTATAATTAACACATAATTTTTTACAGAATCAGATGGCAAGGAGTGCAAAGTGCAAACCACAAGCAACCAACCTTTGGAAATTATAATTAAGTTGAAGAATGAAGGCAGCCGGCGTGGCAAACAGAAAGTGAAAAAACCTACAAAAAGTCCACGGAAAGTTTCCACTTTAATTGATACACCGACACGTCGTTTAGGCGTTAGACGTTCCGCTAGCAATATACGTGAGAAATCGCAACAACAAAAACAAGTTTCTACTAATGCTAAGCAAGGTGCAATAAATCGGCAAAATTCTTATGACTCCAATTCGACGTCATATCGCAGTCTACCATCTCGCATTGCCAATGGTGTGGATGAGCTGGTCGATCAATTAGAATTAGGTGAAGAGGAAGATGTTCACGACACTACTAATATACCAGCAACTGCTGTTGCTGCTGAAGCCAAAGCGTCGACACAGCAAGCAAAATCAACTCAGCGTCCAGCGCGTTTGAATCCACTCATAGCACACTATGTACAACGTCTATTGGGTATGTCACGTAATTCTGTACTCGGTTTAGGCGTAAGCTCTTCGGACATTGAAACACCTTCGTCTTCCATTATGAATGTCAGTTCGAATCGTGTAAGCGCCGCTGTCAACTTGGCAGACTCGCAAGAACGCATACAACGTGTACAGAGATTTATCGAGGAGAATCGTAGCTTTATCAGTGAGTTGGAAGACACATTGCGTTCGCAAAGCGATGTTACGCTTGAGACTAGCATTCGCATGTTTGAGGAGATTTGGCAGCAACGACTGCGCAAGGAGCAACAAAGTGGCGGTGTAAAAGCACAGAAAGAGCCGCAAACGAGACAGCGTAAGGAGATAGCGTCATCAGCTGCCGATGCAGAAGAACGCGGTGCGCGCACTCAAATAGGCAATGAAAGATACGTGCGCGACAATGCTGTCGTGGTGTCACAACACTCTAAAGTAACGCGCAAGCCGCATAAAAGTTTAACGGTGCCAAGTGCAAGCCAGCAGCAGCGCGCGCCAACGGCAGCACAAGCTGAGCAAGCGCAGGGTCAGCAACCGCGACAATTCGTGCAAAATGATGAAAAAACGGCACGGATATCAACGCAGCGCGCTGCCACTAACGCCAGTGCGGAGCATACAACGCGTGATGCGCAACCGAAGCGCGATACCTCAGTTGGCACAGAGGAGCGTCGCGCTGAAGAGCAAATCGCACGTTATGAGCAACTGACCGAGAACTGTACACAACGTATCGCCGAATTGACCGAACTCATACAAAAAGTGCGCACAGAAAAGAAACGCCTCATGGAGGTTACACTCAGTTCGGTAAGTGAGGGACGCAACTCAACCGAATACATCGAATTGCCTGATGGTACGCGTCGACGCTCAAATGCATCCATCGATAGAAATACCAGCATTAGCATTAGCAGTGGCAGTAGTGCTGGTGCAAGCATACGACACGCTTTGACAACACAACCAACCACCTCTATAGACTACACACCACCAGATATATTGGAGCAACAAGCTGCCGCTACATCGGCGGAAGGTTTATCAGCACTCGACAGCGCAGCGCCGCTTGAGAAGCACAAACCAACAGGTGTTAGTCGCGATAGCGGCATTTCCATTTCACGCCCATTGACAGCACAAGATGTGGAACCACCATCGCAAGCGTCGAGCACAACACACCCGAGCCATCATGGTGGCGGGCGTAAGACGCGACCACCACCTACTTTGCAGCGTTACAGCCCCAACTTTGCCGAAGATGATGTAGTGCATGAGCTATCCACCATCATCGAGGTAGATACACCGGCTACATCGCGCGTAAATGCTAGTGCAGCTGCCGCAACAGCTGAGGCATCACGCAGCAGACATTTACAACCGCAACCGTTTCCCACGTTCGAAGAATATGCGCGTGAAATGAATTTGGATGTCACACAATTGGATGCAGACACGAGCCATCGCATACATCAGGAATTTGAAACGCTGATCGCTCAGCTGTGTAATGCACAAGGTAGCACAGTGCCCAACTATCGTGAGTTTCCCTCGCTTTCCGCCTATCTGCGCAATTTAAGCGTACCGCAAGATGGCGCTGAACAATCGCAATCACCGGAGACTATCGACGATCTGGTCTCATGCCTACGCATAGCGAATCTTTCCATAAAACCGTTTCCGACGCGTCAAGAATATTTACGCCAATTAGCAACAAATTCTCAGAGTGGTGAGTTTCTCGATAGCGCCAGTCTGGAAAACCTCTCCGATGCGCGTACAAACAGTAATACAGAAACCGAATCGGAATCGATTAACATTGAAGAGGAGCTTAGACGACGGCAACTGCTACAGCATTCATTTCGCACGGCCAAAACTAAAGAGCAAATATTCACCTCCACGGTAAGGGATGGCGGTGAGAATGAGCGCGGCAGTCATGCACGTGTTTTCGCCGCAGAAAGCGGCATTGAGAAGCTCACCTCAACATCTGAGAACGGCTCAAGTGAATTCGAACGTCAGCTATTCAGTTTGGGTATGAAATGGCCGGCAACAATGCGCGCGCGCACCAAGGAGGCAAAGGCAGTCGGCAGTAGTAACACATCAAGCAGTCCGGAGCGTGTGGTAACCGCAACTGGCGCCACAGTGCGGCTTAGTAGTCCGAGAAAAGATGTCAATAATGCGGTGTTGAAGAGTCCACAACGCTCACCAGACTCTACATTGCGTGGGGCGAGCCCGAAACGTGTGGAAACGGTAAAAATTAGCGCTGCTAAGGAAGTGCAATTTGAGCGTAGCATCGATGAGCGCTCACCAACACATAGTCCAACGCGCATGACAGCACAGCAAAAATTAAGAAACAGTCCAGAGCGTGCTGAAGTCGACACCAACAAAGATGCCTCGCTCCAAAAACAGCGAAGCATCAGTCCAACACCTGATGGGCCCACCAAGGACACAGCGGGGCATGATGCGTCACGAAATAATAAAAGCGTAAGTTCTATTAAATTGTCATAATTTACACTATAGTCTCGCTCGCTGCACTGCTCTCTATCTGTCATTTATTTCTCACTTTCTCCTTCAACAACAACTTAAATGCTTTATGTAATAAAAAAGATTAATAAATTTTTTTTTCACTTAGTCTCAACGCAGTCAACCACCCACTAGCGATTGCGAGTTTCTAAGCGACTTCGGACGACCGCTAAATTTACGCGATTTTCTCACCAAAGAGTTGCTGAAACATGCCAGTTCATCGAGCACATCATCGACGCCAACAGACGAATCGTTGCGCAGCGCCTTCCTGCAATCCATCATTGAAACGATGACACCGCGCACCAATAACGGCGGCAGCAATCAACTGGACAGACAAAAGACTTCTACGCCGGTTACACATTCCGCAAGCTCGAATGCGCACAGTAGTGGAGAGCACAGCGTTAGCAGTGCAGGCAATACGCAATCACAGCTTTTCTCCGGCGAAAGTTGTATTTCCTCGGTGCGCTTTTTCGAGCGCTCGATAACGCGCACATATCCGCGAAGTTCGCCAACCGCCGCAGGCGATAAACAAGAGAAGGTCACAGAGGAGCTAACAAGTGATAATAATGTTAGCAAAAAGTAGTGTTACTGTATGTGGCTTCAGATTGCGCGCAACTAGCTATACATTTAATTTAGTTTTAACATTTTGCATTTATTTTTTTTTTTACCTACACACAAATTCATTAGTTAATTGTGCAAGCCCTTGATGACATATAGCGACAAATACATACATACATACAAATATATATTTAAGTAGATAAATAAGTCACTTTGTTATCAGTATCAATACCTATTTGTTAAAGATTTTATAATAATTGCATGCCTAACGATTTTACATACATCTATAACACACTCGACTTTGTATTGGACGCAGACAGCCAATTTGCCTACGTCAAAAGATAGTTTTTATTTGTTCTAATTTGATTGGGTGTATTTTCGAAAGCAATATTGATAAAGACACACATTGATTGTTAATTAATTAAGACGAGCAGCAGCGCAAGAGTATGTAAAATGCAATGAAAATAAATATAGTATATATTGTATATAAATATACATACATACATATGCGTTATTGATTGTGTAGGATTTTAACGAGGAACGCGAATAAACGTTTTTGTTGTTGTAGTCGCATAAAACATTACTAAAAACAAGAAGAAACCCGTTAACTTTGACTGCGCGGAATCTATAATGACCTTCACAGCTGGATTTTTTATAGCACAAAAACAAAAAAAATATCTTTATCTTAATTCCGATCGTTCAGTTTGTTTGGCAGCTATATGCTATAGAGATTCGATCTGAACAATTTCTTCGTAGAATTTACCGTTGCTTTGGACAATAATCCGTGCCAAATCTTGTTAAATAAAAAAAATTTCCATACAAGGACTTAATTCCGATCGTTACTGCTCTTAACCAAGAATTAGTGCTGTGATTACGTCTGTACCATTCAACTGCAATAATGATAGTTGTTTCGTAAGTCGTAAGCAACAGCTTTTTGAAGTTGAAGAAGGCAGATGAACTTCCGAAATGTATTATTTATAATCGAAAAGTTTTAAATGGTAATTATTGTTGCTGCGCCGACTCAAATTGTTACTTAATTTTATACTTAATATTATTAACGGGATACACATCAAGCAATATTTGTTTTCAAAAAGAATATAAACATGTTTTCTTCTACCTTTTGATTTGAGAAAGACAAAGGTCAAAGACACAGGTCTCGAATAAGAATGCTGTCTGGATGTTTTCAACTAATTTATATGTATTTAAGCGTATTTAAAACTCAAAAAATTTCATGGCGTCAGCTTGATTTGCAAAACGCAAAATTTTATTTAAAACAAGGGTTTTTTGAAGTCTTAATTAAAAATTTAGGTACAGTTTTATTTTAATACTTTAAATACTTTGCCTATTTTGGCTTCAAACTTGGATATTGATAAAGTTTGGGCACCTTATAATGTCTGCAAACGATGTGTTGAAAACCTACGAAATTGGTTTAAGGCATGAAAAAAGCTTTCCGATATGCAGACTTGTGTTTTTTGGCAAAATCAAATCAGGTTTTGATGAGATACATGATACGTGAACTCTAATGCTTGATCTCCACAGTTTCACAATTAAAAAGAGATAATCCAATTTTAATAAACGATTGGCCTTTACATCAGTCTCATTTACAGGTATTTTAAGCATATACCTCTTTCTGTGGACGTTGGTTGGATACTGAAATCTAATTTGGGTGTTGTGGAGTGGCTTGATTCTGAAATTTAAATATACAATTTAACATAAAACTTAGTTTATACACAAAGTTAAAATAACAAAAATAAACTACAAATAGTTTGCTGGAACGTATTTGCTTGTTGATTTGCTTTGCATGCGTTGGAATGAGTCGCTTTCGAAAATGTAGGATTGTATGTGGAAGTGCCTGCTTTAGCTGCGCATTTCAATTTTTTGCTGCAACGACTTATTTCGATTATATAGAAATGCATTAATAGCTCATAATATAATTAAAGAATTAAGTATATATTTTTAATACAAATTTCTATATTTTTCTGTATAATAATTTGTGTAACAATGTAAGCAATAATAAATATTGTAGATTACCTTAGATTGCCGATTTTTTTTCATTTGCTTTTGCTATTGTTTACTTGTTATATAATTATGTTCACATAATAAAGATTTGTTGCGAATATTTTTAATATTATTTCTACCACAGTTTTCGTTTATAACCAATAGCAGTCAAACAAAACTTTTTAAAAATATAAGCTATTTCAACGAAACTTCGGTTTATTTTAATTTTGCATTAATGCATTGAGAAAAAAATTAAGTAAAATAATACACCAAATATATATAATAAATTAAAAATTTGCAACAAATTTACAAAAACAACTTTTATTTATTTAAAGAACATCCAAAATATGCATTTAATATTTAATACAAACTAAAAGAATATTAAAAAAAAAGTATGATATTTTTTAAAATTATATATTTTTTGTATTAAAAATGTATCGTGTTTTTTTGATAATTTTTAAAAATATATTTCTTTTCATTATTTATTTAAATTTTTAAAATTTTATATTTTTTTGTATTAAAAAAAATAGTGTATAATAAAAAAATGTATTGTATTTGTTTATAATTTTTAAAAATATATTACTTTTAATTATTTATTTAAATTATTAGGTTATACTTTTTTTGATGATTTTCCGAATTAAAAAAAGTTTCGTCTTAACTGAAAATTTTTAAAAATATATTTCTTTTAGTTATTTATTTAAATTTATAAAATTATATATTTTTTTGTATTTAAAAAAAAATTGTATTGTATGTGTTGATAATTTTTAAAAATATATTTCTTTTCATTATTTATATAAATTTGTAAGTTATACATTTTTTATTATAATTAAAAAAAGTATTGTATTTTCTGATAGTTTTTAAAAATATTTTTCTTCTGATAATAATTTTTTTATTTAAATTTTTTAAATTATATATTTTTTTAATAAAAAAAGTATTGTATTTTCTGAATATATATTTATTTAAATGTTTAAAAGTATAAATTTTTTGAAATTAAAAAGACAATTTTATTTTCTGATAGTTTCTAGAAACATATTTCTTTTAATTTTTACTACATTTTTAAAATTATACATTTTTTTAACTCCCAAATTTAATTTAAATTTTAAAATAAAAAAATATATTACAAATTTAGGTATATAAACATTTATTGTTTCTTTAAATTTAATTTTTAAAAGAAAAAAGTATTATAAAAAATTTAAAAGTTATCGTCTTTGGTAGAAATTTGTGAAAAAAAAATTCTAAAATTGTTATAAAAATACAAAATAAATTGTTTGCTGCAAAACTTTATAAGTAAAAGTTCAATAAAGTTAACCATAATTTAAGCAAAATAATAGCGTTTATAGCTAAATTATTGTTTTTTTTTTATATTTTTAGGGCGTTATAAGACCACTCATTTTTTAAATAGCTTGTTTTTTTCACTTCGTACTCTGAAAAATTGGTTGATAGCCACCTCTTAGTCTCCGAAGTATGAGCTCTTAATTGTAACGGGTAGGTATTGTAACCGACTAACGGTTTTTTATTTTTTTTTTCCTATTATGTCTACCAACCATTTTTTCAGAGTATCAAGCGAAAAAAAACCTTCGTTTTTTCTTTGACGCACCCTAATATCATCAAATACAAAGAACATATAATTAAATGATACTCATACGCCAGCGAGTCATTGTGCTTTTTTCTTCTAATTAGCACCTACATTAGGTTAAGAACTTTAAAACTTATAATTTTTTATGCAATAACACCTGCTCTTCAAATAACGGTTATGTAAAAGAAATAAAAAGACAAATATTTGGGGAATTTGATTTGTATTTCAAAATTGCAAAGGTGGTAACATTTCATTGACCACTACTGTATATATAAATTTTATTTATTGTTTTGTAGTTATTGCTATAAAAATTAAAATTCTAACCGATAATAATGCAGTTATTTTTATTCAAAAAATAAGTTCAATCTGGCGCTTCAAAATTTGCATTTTGCAATATTTACAATCAAATAATAAAAAAATATTCAAAATAAATAACTTTAACTCTTTAAATATATTAAAAGGCAGCAAAATTTAAGTAACTGAACCAGTTGCTCAAAACTTCTGAATATCTAGTGTATATCTCTTAAGATTACAAAATTAGAAAAGAAAACATTATCTGCATAAGCATCAAATGGTGTATGTATGTATATTAATATTTTTTTAAGTATTAAACATCACTTTATATATAAAAAACAGTTAAGTAAATTCATTTAGTTCACATTTCAGTATTGTAGTAAAAATCTAGCACGCTGTATCTACATAAATATATGTATATTTGTTTGTGTTGTAAATGATTGTAAAGTAGACTTTGCAATATCACCGTGTAGTGAAATGCGCCAGGTGGGCGGCTAGGCGGAGCAAATTGTATACATATATTGTTTATTATGATTAAATTTACTTTTGAGGTATATGCCGTTATATTTTTTCATATGCATTTAGTAAAGTGTAACAAAAATATAATAGTAAAAAACAAAGTCATGTAAAAATGTCTATTGCTGCAGTTGCCGTTACATACATGACAATATAAAAAGTTCGCAAGTAGTTAAGTTGTAAAAATAGATTTGTTCGCTTGCAAAAAATATTACTATGTTGCTAAACTTGTGAAAAAATAAAATTACAATAAAGTTAAGTTCGTGTGTTTCAATAAAAATATTTTTTGGTTTTAACTCTTTGCTTACTATTTTTCAAAATGTACTTAATTACATGTAATAAATTTGGAAGTGACTTTTTTTTAAATTTATTTTGTTCTGCAATTGGAAAAAAATAAAAGTTTAGGAAAACAAAAAAATGTTTAAATGTAAAATTTGTTAGTTCCATTAAATTAAATTTACTTATTTGTAACAAAAATTTTACATTTTTTTCGCATGTAAAAATATTTACGTATGACTTCAAGCACATAAAAATTATGTTGGTTTATTTACAACAAACAATTGTGTAGTAGCGTGTATAAACATATATACATACAAACTTACATACATTTGCGCAAATTTCTATAATAATAACTCATAATTTTCGAGGAGTATAATTCATTTAAAAGCGAAACTGATTTTTTGTCACCACTATTGTAGCTAAAATATTTTACACTTTTTAAAACAAATAAATTTTATGGTTTTTGAGGAAAAACTATTATTTTTTTTTTAATCAAAACTTTATATGATTTTAAAGAAAAATTCATTTTATTTAAATTTGCAAAAAAAAATAGTTTTTCATAGAAACAATAATTTTTATTTTTTGCACAAAATGTGTCAATAAAAATATATAAAATATTAATATTGGTTTTTAGCTTAAAGAAAAAGTAATTAATTTTTTTTAAAGCAAAAAAGAACAATTTGAAAATTTTTTAGCATAAACAATAAAATACATAGAAATTATTAAAATGAAAAAGACAGCTTAAAGATATTTTTTTAAATTTTTTAAACTTGATTTTTTAAAAGTTTATTTATATTTTTCGAAAATTACTGCTTGCATCAATTAAATTTCCATTTTA